GTCTCTGTCAGGAAGGGTAACGAAAAGTCCTCCATGACAGTTCCGGATGGAGGGTAAAATGTATAAGATGGATTATTGATAGAATCCTTATTGACCCCAGTAGCAGCTTTTGCACCTCCAACAACCAAAACGTTACCACTGGGTAAGCTTAACATGGTTGGATACCATCTCATAGTTGGCATGACCCCTTCAAATTCATACCAATCTCCAATGGTTTTGTCATATAAACGAACTGTTTGTCGACCGGAACGAAAATTAGCATCACCATTATCTCCACCTGCTTCAACTAAAGTTCCGTTGCCTAACCATGCCCCCGCTGAGCAAAAGGTATTTGTATAAATACTAAGAGCTCGAGCTTCATTTGTGTCCAAGTCATATTCTGCAGAAATTGCTGAGACACCATCTGGTCTCTTTAAATCATTTCCCTCAACTATTGGTAAGAAGAGTGAAAGAGAGTGAGGGAGAAGTTAAATGATTTACATTAAATAAATGACAACGAGATGAAAGGATGTTTATTTACGTTTGTCCACAAATACGAATTTTCTGGAAGATACCAAGAAGGCATGCATGGCATTGACTCCGGATCTATTGTAGAATGAAGATTTGTGTTGACAATTAGAAATGTAAAGAGGAATTAGGTCAAGATACAACAATATTGGTTTGGTTGTCACTTACTTTCCAACAATTTTCCATGTTCCAAGGCTTGTATCACCACCATCGTTACGTTCTAAAGAGAGAGGATATCAAGTTTGTTAAAAATTTATGCGCATCATTTCAAGAAAATTTCTGATGGTGGTAATCGCTTATGATAGTTACCTACTAGGGGAAGAGGTGAGGCAGGTAATGCATTTACATTAAATATAATTAATCCTCCAAAGAGGAATAAAAATAAAATTAATTTAACATTCATCTTTCTAAACCTTATCTTAATTTTTTTTTATTATTATTAATTATTATTTTATTATTATTAAGAAAAGATGAATAAAGAAAAAATTCTCCAAAAAAAAAAAAAAAATTTGGAGGGGATTCCTCAGACATTTTTATGGTTATTTTATAGCATTCCTTTTTTTTTTTTTTTTTTTTTTTTTTAATATAAAATGTTTCATTAATAGGAATCATTAGTTTATATTATTGTTTATTGTTTATGTATGTCCTATTTCTGTTTACGCCTGTTTCGTTATTTTACAGGGTTTGATTGTATCAATAAAATAATATATATGAGTTTTTTTTAATGCACAAGTGTGCGAGTTGCCTTGTGGTGTTATGAACAAAGTTTTTTCGATTGGTGCTAACTGATTAAATAAACCTTCCACAAAAAAAAAAAAAAAAAATGGGAAAGAGAACAAGAATCGATTCGTCCACGTGATGAATTATAAGACATCGTACTCTAGAATCATACCATATTTCATGTCATCTTTCAAAAGTAGGCTTGTACGATATAATTTCTGTAGTGCCACTTTCGTCTTTGTGAACAAAATATCCGAACCTTTTACGCAAATTTCTAAAGAAAAAAGTATTTTTAGAAATTTTATTTTTAAAAAATTATTTATTTGTTACACGCGGGTCAAAATGGATTTCTCCGCCTTCCCAAAAAGAATAAATCCATTGTAATAAATTTTTAATATCATTAAAAAAATAATAATAAACAATCAATTAAGTGTAAATACATGAAATCTTTTCTTTTATTAGTCACTTTTAACTTGATTCTTTTAGTTTGCTTTAAACCGGTTAATTGTTTTTTAAATAACAGGTTTTTTATGCACCCTTCAATTTATTATGTCAAAATGACTGATCTCTATTAATAGTCATCTTTTTATTTTTATAAAAAAAAAAAAAAAAAATCATTCTTTAAATATTTAACCAGGGCATTTTTGATTTCTTTTTTTTTTTTTTTTCAAAAATAAATTTGATTCAAATCTTTTCGTTTGCATATTAAAATTATATCACATGTATATTATAATATTATTATGACAATCGTAGTTTAACATATTTTTTTGCCCAATTAAATCACGATGGTTAAGTTCATAATAGACAAAACTATCGAATAAGACAATACGGTACAGAAATGTTTTTAAACACCGCAGAATCTATTATTAAGGTTTAAGGTTTTTCGTACGATGACCATGTTTATCATTTTTCTCCTTCATTTTTCGATAAGATTTCTTTCTTTTCTTCAATTGATGTATATTGTTAACTTGTTTTCAAAAATAATATCCTGTGGCGTGATGTTTTGTCAACAAACATGGAAATGAGCGATTCCTATATTAACTTAATAATAAAAATCTTACGATTCTTTGTTATTCAATCACATCTCAAGGAAATTGATTTAAAGTTTCCTCATGGATTGGATGTCAAATTTGGAAGTTTATGCAATTCCATTACAATTAATGTCTGCATTAATAAGGTGAGGTTTTCAAATTATTGAAATGATTGAGGCAAGCGCAAAGTTTCAAAAAAAATCATGAGATAAATATTTCCAAATTACAACTTCGATTATATATATATATATGTATGTATAAATAAATATTTTGCAGTTTTTTCCTTTAAAGGATGGGCCGAATCAAATAGTGCATTCTATTTATCCCTATTATCTTGATAAAAACGGTAATAAGACAAAAAAATTTAATGTGATACGGTTCTGGATTTGGATAAAATTTAATTAAAAAAAAAACAAGTCCGGTTTATGATGTTTACGGGGCAAACATTGTGATTAATTAATTCCGAATTCCTTTAGAGCCTTTTATTTAGAAACAAGTGTATCAAACTTTTTATTAAAGTCTTGGCATTTTCACATCATGCATATGCCGCAGATCCGCAGCAAATTCAACAGGATTCACTATTTATGTTACGGCCTTTTTTTTTTTTATTAAAATTTAATTTTAGTTGTCCATTTATTTATTTATTTATTTATTTTTTTTTTTTGCGATGACATATCAGAATTAGATCATCAAAGAAAATAAAGTTTGGATTTGACACAATTAGATCATTATACAGATACATAGATACACATGTGAAGAATATTGTTGAAAAACGGAAGGGATGAAATATAGAAGGAAAGATAATGACTTATTTACAATTCGATAACGTATGTTGAACATTTACTATGTTCGAAATCTATTTTCATTCCGCAAATGACCAATTTAGGTTTTTAGAATGGAAATATGATAACTAGAGTTTTGATTTAACAGTGTAATAATAATAATGATAATAATTTCAGGAAATTTTTAAGATGGGGAATTGTTCTGACTTACTTAAATAGGGGAGGATCGGTTTAAGGGGTCGGGCAAAAATGCAATCGCCGCCGATTACCTCCCTAGTGCATTTTAGTGCAATGCTCTTTGGTTAAAATTGGTATGATAAATAAGCATGTACCCGACGAGGCTTGGATGAAAAGGATTAGAGCTTTTTCAATACGTAATTTATTTCGTGTAATGTTACCTGCTAAAAATGAAAAGTCTTTTTATTCTTCTGTTATTTCGGCCTGAATTAAAAAAGATTATAATTCACGGAGCCGTGAAGTTTAAAAGGTTTTATCATAACGTTATTTAAAATTTTCTTTTGTAAAAATAGATCAAAAATTGGTCGGAAGACCTTGCTTCTTCTTTTTAATTTTCCTTTTTTTGTTTTTTTTTTTTTTTTTTCTTGCGCGACCTAACCCTCAAAAATTATTTTTAGATATCACTCGTTTGTTAAAATAAATAAATATTGTTCGAAAGATAAAAATAGAAAAGTTGATTATCACAAGAAGGAAGATAATTAAAAAAATATATATAATATTTATCTGACTTTGACCAATAATTCTTGCTAAACCATCATAACTTCATTATGATGAGGATCTTGCAGATTTTCACGATTTTGATATACCATGTGTAAAGAATTTCGTTTGATACGCCGGATTTCTTTAATTTATTTGTTTGTGATTTTCTTGATAAAAATTTATGGATTTATGAACGGGAAGGTTTTAATAATCAAATTATTAAAAAAAAAATTGTTCTATTTCTTGCGAATTATTATTAAATGAAATAATAACAATAAATCGGATTATTTCTGAGATAATGGTCAAAAGATAATAATTAATTTTTTTCGAGGATTTTTTTTTGTTTTTATTATTTCTCAAAAAAAAAAAAAACCGAAAAAAAATTGGATTTAGTAATTAGTCCATTACTTTTTTATCTGTTTACCTGATTTATTCTTTGAAACAAACAAGATTCATTAAGTAAAACGTGTTTCGAATTTAGTTTATCTCGAATGTGGCTTAGTTAAATTTGCTAATAAATTTTGTGCTCTCCTTTAAATTAATTCCTTTTATTTTTTAATAACTTTCGCTATATACTAATAATATCAATACAAAAATATTTAAACATAACAATATCAATTCGTAGGAGGAATTTATGCAAAAAAAACATGCACATCATGTTTCAAAATCACCTAATTTGTCAATCGCGTATATTTACATATTTATATAAAATGATTGTCTGTTCTGGTAGGTGAATTCAAAAAATTTTTTGAATTCATTCAATATGAAATTAATCACAATCTTACTTTTAATTTGTTTTTTAACCATCACAAAAAGCATTCCAGGTAATAATAGGTTTTTTTTTTTTTTTTTTTGTATCTTTGTTTAAAAATAAAAACAAATTAAATTTTTATTCTTAACCGATTTAGTTATATATGATGAATCCGGGACGAGAGAACATAAACGTTACGATGCCGGTTCACCGTGTTACCAATATTTTCATAATGATGATGAGTCCAAGCATTTGGTGGAATTTTGTGAAAAGACACGAGAAAATTTTAATAAATATAATTAATGTGATATAGTTTACAATATTTATTCGAATCAGTCTTTAACTATACATACAGAATTACTTTAGATGTTAATATTTAATCAAAATAAGAAAATGGAAAATATCAAATATTAAATATTAAACATACTCCTATCAAAATTAAACGGTCCATTTCATAGTAATTTCTTTTCTACTAAACCGGTTAAATCACAACTAATATTCCACCAAATTTTTTTGTAAATCTTCTTTATAACTATCTTCACTTGCTTTGTCAACCTTACAACATTTATTAATATATAATCCACTTTGTTTTTCAAGATCCGGTGACGTTGATGCATAAACGATTACCATTCCTCCCTAAAAGAAATTAATAAAAAAATTTTTTAATTTGCTCCTTTTGTCTTGTGAATACAAAGATTTTATATTACCTGCTCGGGTGTCCTAGCAAAAGGAGCTAAAGGAAGAATAAATTTCATTAAGAGTTTAATGTATATGGCACTTTCCCTTGACAGATCAGTTTGAGGTATGAATCCAGGTTCGATAGCAATCAAAGAAACCTTCTCTTTTGCTTCTCTTTCTAGTATCTTATTTAATTGATTAAAACATAACATCTGCATTAATTTAGAATGCCTATAAAATAAAAGACCATCATAACCTTTGCTACCATCTAAATTTTCTACGTCTAAACTCTCGAAATTTTTATGTCCTTCACTCTGTTTATGTAGCGAACTACTAACAAAAATAATTCTAGAAATGAAAGGATCAGCTCGTTGTTGTTGCTGTTCTGAAGTCCATATAATTCTATCTAATAATAAATGAATCAAAAGAAAATATGAAAAATGATTGGTTTGAAATGTCGTTTCAAAATTATCTTCGGTTTTACTTAATGTTGATTTTATCGTTGCGGCATTTAATATTAGTAAATTTAAAGGAAGAGTTGAATCTCTCGTAAGTAATCCTTGTGCGAATGATTTAATTGAAGTAAATGATGATAAATCAAGTTTTGATATTTCAATTTTATGCTGTGGTGGAATTGTTAGCGCTAAAACAGCCTTTTCCGTTGCTGGAATATTACGTACAGCGAGAATAAAATGATATGGCGTTGAATGTTGTATCAATTGTTTTAGTGTTTCGTAGCTTTTTGTTTTTTTTTTTTTTTTTTTAGGAAAAGTAGAAATATTAATTTGTCGCTTGTAATGAAGAAAATTTGACTAAAGTATGAATATTATTTACCCTAAACCTGAGTTGGCACCTGTTAAAATGATAACTTTACGTTCCTGAAACATCGTTAAAAAAAAAAAAAAAATGCACAATTTTTTGGTGGGAAATTTTGTAATATTTTTTTTTTTTTTTTGGGATGTGAATATTTATTTGTATATTGTGTAAATCTTTATTCCATTTTTAGAATATGATGATGATAATCGAAATCGACGGAAAATTTTTTTAAGCCCGATTTTCCCGAAAGGTTTTTTCACCTTCACGTGAATTTTTTGGTTGGCATTACTGAGCTTATCACGTACGACAATAAGATGAAAAAATTCTGTTCTTAAAATGCATAGTAAAAATGGAATTTTGCTATAAAACCTTCCATTAAACCTCTTTGCTAAAGCAAACATAGTTTAAAAAAAATAGATAAATCTGAATTTTCTATATATGATCAAAATACCAAAGATTAACCATATAATATTATTATTAGCATCTACATATTTTATATAATAAATAGTATCTCAAATATAAAAAAAAATCTATTACTAATAAATGTATTATTGTAAACTCATTATCTATTTATTTTATAAAAAAAATCAACTTGTATTTATTTTTAAAACTAGAAAATTTTACTAATATTTTAAAATGTTAAAATTTAGTTAAAAAAGTTAAATTATATAATAAAAATTGGTAAAATTTGATAAATTTAAATACTAAAAATCAGTTTAGAATGATGAAAATTAGTTTGATAAATATTATTATATTTGATTAAGAATTTAAAGATTTTTTTAAAACTAATTTATATAAACTATTATATAAATACTTAATTTAAAATAATATTATTCTATTTATTCTTATTATATTATTAATCACTTTAAATAGTTTTTATATTAATACAATAAATTTAATAAAAAACTTAATCTAATTTTATCTCTTTAAATATTATCAATATTATTAAATATAAATTAAATTGTTTAATTATTTTTAATAATAAAATTTTGGTATTTTTTAAATAAGTAATAATTATCAAAATAATATATTTATTTATAATTAAAATTAAAGTTGATATTAATTATTATTTAATACACTTGAAAATAAAACTCTAATTTTAATTTAATAGATCAACCTGAAAATTTTGTGTCACATTAAGTGATCTGACCTGACCTAAATTTTAATTAAAAAATTTAAAATTTAATAACTCAATCTGTTTATAATAAAATAATTACCATTTAATTCTTCTTATAAAAATAAATTAAATGAGTTATATTTATTAATTTGAATAACTAATTGATAAGATATAGCTTGTTTAATTTTATTATATAAAAATTTTAGAATCTGTTATAGAGTTAAAAATGTTAAACTAGTATTCTACAAAATTAGATCTGATTAGATATTAACCAAAACTGATTTAAACTGATTTTTATTTTTTAGGATTTGAATTAATTTGAATCTAACAGATCCGTTAAAATTCAGTTCTCATCTGAATCTAACAGACTGAATTTCAAATCTGAATTTAACAGATCAATTTAAATTCAAATTTGATCCAATCTGAATTTGAAAAATTTTATTAAAAAAATGATTTTCAGTTTTAAAAGAAATCCAAAAATGTTTTTTTCAATAAAAGAAACCTTTTTGGCTTTAAAATATCTGAAAATCATTTCTTTTCAATAAAAGAAATTTTTTCAGCTTTAAAAATATCTAAAAATTTATTTTTTTTAATGAAAGAAAACAAAATTTTCAGCTCTAAAAGTGACTGAAATTTGTTTTTTTTTTAATAAAAGAAAATAAATTTTCATTTCTAAAAGAAGTCTGAAATTCATTCCTTTTTAATGAAAAAACTTTTTTAGCTTTAAAAAGTTAAATCCAAATCTGAATCTAACGAATCAAATTTAATTTGAATTTAAATTTAATGAATCAGATCAGATCTGAATTTGTGCAAAATACTATTTAAAATAATATATTATGTGACCCTTTATATTAAAAAAAATATTATTAAAAGAATTATAATGCTAAAAAATTAATAAATAACTAATCTAATAAAGTGTTATAATAAAAAAATAATTAGTTAAAAATTATTTGATATTAGGCAAAGGCAAATTACATAATAAAAAAAAATAATTAATCAAAATTATATAATAAAATATAATAATTAAAATGTAATATAATAATTGAAATATAATATAAATTATGAATTAATCATAAAATTTAGAAAAACAAATAATTAAAGTAGTAAAAAAAGAAATTAATTAAAGGATTCTTAGAATAAAAGAAAGAAAAGAAGGTAAACTTAATATATAAAAATGATAAATAAAGAATAAATAAAAGAAACTAACAAATTAAGACTATAGTATACTTATATAATTTATATTACTAAAAAGAAAATTAGTAGAAATAATGAAAAAATTAGATATGTATATGAATACAAAAAAAAGAAGAAATGTAAAGAAAAATAGATTTAATTATTAAAACTAGAGCTTTAAATTTGATTTAATGAATCAGATGACCTAATGATTTAACCTAAAAAATTAAATCAAATCAGATGGGATACTTGATTTAATCTGACCTAAAATTTTTTAATTAAAAAATTTAACTCTATTAGTATTGATCTGTTTAAGATAAAATAACTATCATTTAAATTTTATAGAGACAGTTTAAATAAGCTATATTTGACTCATTTTAGATTACTAATTATTAAAATATAGCTTGATTAATTTTACTATATAAAAATTTTAGAATACGTATTATAGATTTATATATAAATACAAAATAAGATATAACTTCATCAATATTAATTCATTTAAGATGAAATAGCTACAGTCAACTCTTGATATAGCGAATTCTTGATATAACGAATTTTTTGAATAAATATAATAAAAATACTCTTATTATAGCAAATTGGCCAATCAAATCTCTTAAAATCTTCACTATAGCTTTATAGTGAAGTTGAGATCTAAGACATAGAGTTCGTTATAACAAGAGTTGACTATATTATTTAATTTGTAATATAGAGACAAATCTAATAAGCTATATTTTTTCATTTTAAATTACTAGATATTAAGATATTTCAAAAAACTGTTTTTTAATTTTTTTAATATAACCTATGATTTGACTTGATCTAATATTTTAGATTAGGTCAAGTAAAATATCTAATCTGATTTAACCTATTCAAAGCTTTATTAAAAACTAAGAAAGATCTAAAAATAGAGATAATATAATAATCATATCATGAGATATGTAATGATAATATATAATATAAATATTAAAGATGACGCTGCAATTGGTTGCAACCGGTGATAAATAAGCATCACAGGGTTGCAACTAGTTGTAACATTAATAAAAATTGAGTTGCAACTAGTTGCAACCAGTAATAAATAAGTATCATATGGTTGTAACTAGTTGCAATACCATCTTTAATAAATATGTAATAATCTTAAAATAATGAATGAAAAGAAAAAAAAAAAAAAAGAAAAAAAAGAAATAATAAAAAAAATTAAAAAAAATAATAAAAATTGGAATTAAAATATGAAGTTAAAAATAAAATTAATATAGAAACTAAAATTTATAAATAGAAAAATATTAATAAAATCTAAAGATTAATATGATATAATGAAAAATTAGTGAAGAAATAACATAATATTAATAAAACTATGATGTAATGATAAAAATTATTAGTGAAAATTAGAAATTAAAGATCATTAAAAGAGAGAATAAAAATTAGAATTAATAAGAAAAAGGATGAAAATCAAAAGAAATTTCTACAAATTGATTGACATTAAAATTTATATAAATAAAGATAATTTTATTATAAAAATCAATTAGAGATTAGTATTTCTAGTTCAGTTAATAATAACTGAACTTTTATTATAAGTTATACTGCAATAACCATAAGTTTAAGTCTTAGTTAAGATATAAAACTAGATAATTTTTTTAAGAATTTTATATGTAACTAAATATGTAGGCATAATACTAATATGCATTTGTTACTGATCAATTGATCTATTGATCAGTGTTGATAATACTTAAATACTAGGTTTTTTTAAGAATATATAGATATAAATGTGATCAGAGATCAACAGAAACTTAGCCTTTACTGATAGGTTTATAATGAATACTATTTTATGTTTAAAATTTAGGAGCCTTTACACAAATAAGAAAGTGATTAACTAGTAATTAGTAGATTAGATACTACATTAAGATCTTAGTATTTTATATAACTATGGTAATAATAAATTGTATTACACTACTATAATACTATCTAATTAAGCTATTATTAGAGTAGAAGTCAGGTTTAATTCTTAGGTGAATTTGATAATATAAGTATAACAATCACCTATCTTTTTGAGATTCTATAAGGATAATAATATTTAAGCCTTTCTGATCATGTGTAATATGCCCTGATACTAAGTAAAGATAATAATGATTCTGATTAGTATTAGTAAAAATAAGAAAAATAATTGACTAAAAATACCTGTAGTTGAAAGTAATCTTTTTATTCAAATTTGATAGTAGTTCTGAGATTCTAGAGTCTTTAGAACTTAATATTTTAAAGGTATCAATCTAGGTGGCAGGTTTTAAACTAGTATCAATAGGCAGATTCTGATTAGAATTGAATCTAGTTATAACCTTAAAAGTTTTAAGGTTGTAATTTATAAGGTTACTTTGTATCTCTTATATATAATAAACAATTGCTATTATAGATTTTAGTATTCAGCTATTATAAATTTAAAAAAAATATTATAAAAATCAATTAGACAAAACTTTTTCTATCTATCATTATGTCTAAAAATAATCAAAAAAAATAAAACAATTATGATCATTCTATATTACTAGTATCAAATAAACTACTAGCTAAAAAGTCTAATACTATATTATTAATAGAAGAAATTACAGTTCCAAACATCACATGAGATTTGCTAATCAATGATAATCTCATGTTGGATGATATCACCACTGTACTAAATAGTGATCAACAATAATTTTCGTTTCACCTGTTTTTTCTATTTATTCTGTATTTTTTGTACAGTTTGTTTATTCTGTTTATTCTGTTTTGCCTATAATTTTCTTAATGTCTGTAATTTAT